TATTTTTTAAAGATTCAATTTTTTCAAGCCAATTTTTATTAAAACACAAGTCATGGTCATGACCAACATATATTCCGAGGATTCTGAATGCATCTGATACCCATTTGATATCCTATAGACTATCAATTTTTTCTTTTTTTCATTATTCTAACCACATAGCATTTGTTTTTTCTTTATTTAGTTTTAGTCCAGAAACTTTTCCGAATTCCACAATTTTATGTAAGCTTTTTTGTATACTGTTTTCATCATTGATAAATAGAACCGTGTCATCGGCAAGTTGTGCAATTTTCACTTCATTTACAGGTGGGCCTTCTATACTTGGTAACATAATGCCTTTAATCAATTTATCATGTCTAAGTCTTACAGCCATTATTTCTGTTGCAATGATAAACAATAGTGCGGATAGAGGGCAGCCTTGTCTAATGTCTCTGTTCATTTTAAAACTACTTGAACACCATCCATTATTCATAATAATACTTTCAGTATCACAATACAAAACATTTACCCACTTAATAAAATATGGGCCAAAGTTTAAATGTTCCAACGTACTAATCAGGAAGTCTCTGTTAACAGTATCAAAAGCTTTAGTAAAGTCTACGCTAATCAGAGCCCCTGTTAGGCTGTTAATATCCATATATTCGATCACATCTTCTATCAGCCTAATATTTTCGCCGCCAAAACGGCCTTCAATGTATCCTTTTTGGTCACTACTAACTATTTTTGTAATATTTTTGTTAAAACTGATGCGGCAATCTTATAGTCCACATTTAGGAGAGTTATAGGTCTCTAATTGCTTAAATTTTCATGTTGATCCTTTTTATAAATTAAATTTATTATCCCTCTTCGTTGTAAATTTGATAATTTTCCCATTTCTAAACACCAGTTTAATGAGTTACATACCATAAGTATCTATTTTGGGCCAGAACGATTGATAAAACTCCACTGTTAGGCCGTCTGATCCAGGTGCTTTATTGGTTTTCATATTTCGTAATGCCTTTTCACATTCATGGATGGTTAATTCTCCTTCACAACATTGTTGTTCAGAAATTGTTAGTTTAGATGATTTTGTTAAATTTAAATATTCATGAATTTCAGTCGTAATATTTTTTTCAGAGGCATATAAGTTATTAAAATGTTGTACTTCTTCGGACAGGGTGTCTTTGGTTTTTACAGCGTATGTTCCATCAGACCTGATTTTTTAAATTTCTTTTTTTTACCATTATTGTTTTCTAGCCCTAGGAAGTATTTTGAATTTGTTTCCCCTTCTTCTACCTATTTCGTTCGGAATCGGATTTGAGCACCTTTGGCCTCAAACGTATATATATTTTCTAGTTCTTTTGTTTTCATTTTAATCACTAAGTCTATTTTTTCATTACCGTGTTTCTCAATCAGCTTATCGTTTTTTCTTTTTGTAGATTTTCTTTTTTACAATTTTTTTTTTTTAATTTTCTTTACCAAAGTGTATTGCATACTCTTTGACTTTTGTTTTAACTATTTCCCACTTATCTATTGGATTAAGACATTTTATTTTCTGTTCACAATCATCAATGATTTTATTAATGTTACTATTAAAAGTGATATAATTTAGGTAGCTTGAGTTGAATTTCCATAACCCAGGGCCTCTTTTTTCTCCAGGTCCATTAAGTTTAATTGAAACACCTTGATGATCGGTAAAAATGGCAGGTCTAATGTCGCAAGAGATAATATTATTCCTCTCATATACGATTTTTGATACAAACCAGTAATCAAGCCTCTTAAATAAATTTGATGATTTTCTGCGCCATGTAAATTGAATTTTATCTTGGTTATAAAATCTCCAACAATCAATTAGCTTTAGATTTTTCATAAGGCCTTTTTCAAAGTGAACACTGAATTATCTATTTTGTTTTGCTACCCTTTTAATCGTACAGATTATCCTGAATACAATTCATGTCTCCTCAAACAATAATATATTGCGTGTCGCAACAATTTTGGATGTGCTTTTGGAGAATTCTAAAAAAAGGAACTCCGTGATTTACTGTCATTTGGCGCATAGACATTTACTAAAGTATATTGAGTACCACAGACTTCGATATTTAGAATAATAAATCTACCTAAGCTATCAATTTCTTCATTTAAGCATTTGTAGTCTAGATCTTTTCTAAAAAGAATAGATACCCCTCTGCTAAAGGAGGTACCAAAACTATGGTACGCATCTCCCTCCCAAAGCAATTATTTATATTTGTAAGATTTTTAGTAAAATGCGTCTCTTGGACAAGAAAGATGTCTACCTTGTTGTTTTTTACCCAATTAAAAATCTTATTTTGTATTTGCTTGACTCTTAAGCCACGGACGTTTAAAGTTAAACAATGCAGACCTTTGGGTTTATTTTTACTATGCTATGTATTTGGGTGAATCCAATGCTACAGAAGAAGAGACCGAACCAGGCCGTGGGTTCAAAAACTTTTTTTCAACAACTCAATAACAATAACACACGTCTTTACTCAATGGCAGCCGGGATCCAAGAACTAGAATACACGTTGGCTACCACGTTAGTGCCTAATTACATGCGCACACGATATACAATCGCTGCGCGCATACCAGGGGTGGCGCCAGGATTTTGGGGGGCGGTGCCCCGACGAGGTGTCAAATTTCCCCGACGAAAGCAAAGTGGGCGTGGTCGAGCTTCGACTAAAAGGTTCGGAAAGTAGTCCTGGGGAGAATTTTGACAATTTAGGGGTTTATTAATCGATTTTAGAGTCTACTAATATGTACAAAATACATTTTTCTCCCCCCGCTGGCACCACCCTGACGCATACGCATCACATTCTGTTGTACAGGAACTACGACGCGAAGTAAGTAGGACTAAACTACACCAGCGGTTTTCGGTAGCACGAATGATAATAGTTTACGAATATTAAGGCTGAAAAGATTATTTTATAGACGAAGCAAATGTCAAAATTGTTTGTATATATTGAGTGACTATTCAGTGCCTTCCGTATGTGCAATTACTCAAATTTTGTAGAAGCGGTTGTGGCTCGGACTCTCAATCCTGAGGTCGGGGGGTTCGAAGCCTACGCTATGCCAGTCGCTTGTGTCCTTAGACAAGACACTTTATCTACGTTTGTCGCTCTCCACCCAGGAATATGGGTACCGGCATATGCTGGGAAGGTAAAACAAAGAGCTGTGTAAAAGTGGCGAACCACCCCCACTCCCGGCCTCCCACAACCTTACACATTCTGGACCAAACGCCAAGTAAACACAGACGGGAACTCCGGCATGTGAGCCCAGAGCTTCAAGATCGACCTTTACCTTACCAATATTTAATAAAAACTGTTACTTAAATTATGTATGTTTATTTATTTTTTCGTACAGGTATAAATGGTCAAACCAAACCTGGTGTCATTGAGGATGCTACCTGTAATTTTACATCAGGTCAGATCTTTAACTTTTATTAATCTAACTTTTAAAGCATTATTGTTATATTATTACTCTTTTTTAGTTTTTATCTAGACTGTTTTAAACTCTCGTTCTTTTTTGTAGATATAAATGTGAATTCTTTTGTTTTGTGCAAATCAAAACTTCCCTTTGCTAATCATTTGGTTACTAAATTTAGCCACATTCCTCAACATCTAATTTCTAGATGTTTTAAACGCTGCTTATCATGTTGAAATTTAAAAAAAAATGATACTTTTTGTTTTCTCATTTGCTATATTTATATTATGTTATCAATGACTCTGTGAATGACAATTTCAGGAACAAGCCGCAAAGCTTGTTTAAAAAAAAGGATAAATAAAGTAAAGAGTAACTTAATTGTTTTGAAAATTTAGACAGGGTACCTGATATTACAGCATTTAGTGATTCCTTCATTGTGGACAGTAACACTATATTAACGAAGCTGGGCGCCTTCATCGGCCGGGAGGATGGCGACAACAAGAACGTCATGTTTGGTATCGGCTTATGGGTGGACGACGAAGGGACGCATTATGGAGAAAATGAGTTAATAAATCTAAAGAACAATATATACAAAATACACGTGGACAGAATTCAAAGGTTGCATTGCTTCAGCATCAGTGGTGTTTCTATCAAAAGAAGGTGAGTGGATCAACTGAATTGACATTTTCTGTAGCATTGTGTGTAAGTGTATGGTTAGGCCTAGAATATATTTGAGATGTGAAATAATGTGGGATTAATCTGACTACCATTGCTAATCCTCTACCGTTTTTAGTTATTACAAGTATGGGAAACACTGTACACAGTCTGGTAATAATCAAAGATGATATATATATATTTTTTTTTTAAACGTATTTTTCTCCACTAGGATTTAAACTAAAGACCTCCCGGTTAATATTCCGATACTCTACCAACTGGGCTATGGGGTCCAAGTGATATACACCCTTCTCATGGTATTGCGTAATAACAATGAATAATGTGCTCATGCAATCGTACACATGTACAGTGTAAATAATTTATTATAGCTTATTTTCGACGAAACTGAGTTTTTTGAGTCTTAACAATCCATTTTTGTAATCAGAAAAATACACGAAGTGACCAGAACACGGATTCTCATGCAAACTAAACTGATGAGTATCTAAATATTTGATTACGATCTAGCTACGGTTCTACCCGAACACCTAACTCTTACAACCAGTATCGGTGAAACTGTGCAGTTGGTAATGACCCTTAACGGTGCTAATGCCAGAAATTTACGATGGAAAAAAAACGGAGGATCCGATATTATGGAGTGGGAAGGCTTAAGCAACGTGAGTCTTGAAAACGTTAAGAAAACAGACGCTGGTATCTACGAATGCTACCCGGAAGGTCAAAGACCGTTGGGTAAACACGCTATACTACGATTACTTGTAAGAGGTAATTGAGTTTTGTTATAGCCAATAAATTAATAATTTAAATTTTAATTGTATTTATGTTAAGTAGTTTAGGCTGTTTTACAAAGCGCTCTCATTAGCCTCCCCTAATGAGCGAAGCTCCGGGGAGGCTCTTGGTTTTACCCATGTTTTTTTTTTCATGCTGTCGTTGTCGTCGTCGATGTCGTTGTCGTTGTCAATGTTGGGAAAATTGTTGTCGCCACGATAACTGAAGTTTGGTAAAGCCGATTATTTTCAAACTTTCCAGAATGCAAGATGTGTTGTAGGCAGTTTTTTTGTACTTTTGCAGCACAAAAATATAGTGAAGTACAGATATATATTTTGGAATGATTGCAGGCATTCTTTTGGTAGTCGTGTAGAATGTAGTTTCGCTTTGTATGGATTTATTTTCAAAATAGAAAAGGATATGTGCATAATCATTAATTAGTTATAGTAGGCCTATATTGCCTGAGTGTTAACCATGGCTATACGCAGTTATAAAGATTACAGGGTATGTATGTACTGTGTATGTTGTTTTGTATGTTTTAGAATATGTAAACATAATTATAGACAGGTATAAATAGATGTAAAATAGGCATTGAGTGAAACAAATGGCAAAAAGTTTGTTTTATTGCTGAAATATGTTATTTTGCCTGTAACAATTAGCATATCCAAAATCTACCTTAATCGGCCAATGCTAAATTACCTAATTTGCATAAACTCAAAATGGCCACCATTTGGAAACTTTGTAGCTAATTTTCTGCTTAACCGTTACATATTGAGAATATAAATGTATTGGGTACAATATAAACATGACCCCAAAGAATTCGAATCACACATTTGATTTGCCAATTATAAATAAATAAAATAAATAATAGTAGGCCTATTAAACAACTTAAGAAATAAAAATCACACATTTGATTGCCAAATGACCTTTCGATATCATTAGGTCAAACGTCAACCGCTTATTTTGGATGTTAAGTAGGATATTTAAAAAATGCAAGTTTTTACTCTAAATATTTACATGTAAATATCATTAAATACAAATAATCATAATTGCACTCAACCAGAGCCTTGCAGGCGTCAACGTTCCTATGCATGATACACGACTTTTAGAAGTATATATACGTGTAATATATATATATATATATATATATATATGTATATACATATATGTATATATATACGTATATATATATACACATATACGTATATATATTCATATATATACATATATATATATTTATACATATATATATATTTATAAAATCAAACGAGTAGGTGGCTGCATCGGCTTCAATAAAATAGTAATAAAACGCATAAAGCAAAAGTGTAGAGTAGCTGTAACTTTTAATAGTTTTCGAGCATCGCCTTTCATCAGGTGGTCAGGATGAAGGGCGATGCCTGTAAGCGTTGTAATAATTAATGATAGTAATATTGTCTGGCATATAATGCAGCCTACAAAATTTCAAGTTGGCATTCCACAATTTTTGAGAATATTGACGAACAAGAATTGGCACAGGTTTTTTGGCAACCTATAGTAGATTTTCCATGCTTCAGCATCCACCGTATTTTACACTGCAATCTGAGGCATGGTTTCCACTGAGACAGATCGTACCGGAAACTACATTTATGTACGTTGTACCCGAGGAAAATTTGCCAATCGTAAAACAAATTTTTTGTAAAATATTAATAGGCAATAATATATAATCCACATGCGACTCCTCTTTCTACTCTTTGCCAAATGTGGGCCTCTTTACTATCTAATAGTAGCAAAGTTGTTGTAGATTTGTAAGGGTACAATGTGTTAATGACTTCATAAACTTGAGTATTTGTAAAAACACGGAGGATTGAAAGTTGGCAAGTTTTTGCTGGCCTATTTTTATCCTCATTTTGGGCCTTGCGGGGACTTAGCAGGGGATGTAATTTCCAAAATGGTTACATGCATGTGAGAGTCCCGGCCACCTCCTAGCAATGCGGAGCATCGTTTTAATGTACATCCCCGGCTAAGTCCCCGCCACACCGCCGTAGTCCTGGGAAAATGCCTCGCTAATAAATGATTGGAGGATAAAACCTACTTGAAGGTTTAGCCTACAGTAGGTCTGAATCGGAGAAGCAACGTGAGAGCTAGGCCAAGGAGATGAGGTTCCTTGATGGAAGCACTACGCGTGCGTATCACTTAGCAGTTTCCATGGAAGTTTGGACTACAATTGACAAGTGCATAATCTGTCTCTTATACACATCTAGATGTGTATAAGAGATAGATTTTTCAGTGGGATTGAGCACTGTTTCACATATATACATACATATACACACACATATATATATATATATATATATATATATATATATATACATACATACATACATACATACATACATTATGACATACATACTTATATGTACGGTTGGGTCAAATTTGTGTGGTGGTTGAAAAATACAGGGGGAGTCTTTATGGCCCAAATTAGTGATTTCAGACTACATTGGTAATGTAACTCGACAGGCAAATTACAGTAACATTTTTAGCAAATTTCTTTGAAAAAATATCGTAGGCATAGGGCCTAGCTACGTATACAGTATTTTCATTTTACAGTACGTAGTTTGGAACGATATCGGAAGTGGGGGTGCTGGAACTACAATTTATTTGAAAATATCTTGGGTCCGATCGTCCACACCAGTTGGGCCCAATCGTCTATCACCCGAAGTTTTCATTACGATTATCAAGAACGTACACGATCTATGCCCTGGGCTAGGCTTAGCTTGCTGTCGTCACTCTGCTACGTATACTACACTACAACAGCATAACAAAGAAAGTAACAAAGAAAGCGACCCACGTGGTGCATTCTTAAATATTACACACATTATTTAATTGTATTAGACGATAACACGATATCATTGATTAAACGATCTAACTAGGCCTACGCTTGCATCGCAGTAATACTAAACTAGGCCTAGCTTAGGCCTCATGTTTTTGTGGAAAGCTAGATAGTCGTTATGTACCCGACAGTCGACTGCCTTTATATTTTCACCTGTTTTCAGTTTGCATTCAAAGGGTACATTGCTCCACAACCAACTGTCGGGGATATAGTACCTTCATATGACTACTCAAACGTATACAACAGAAAAAAACGTCGCATGGACTAAGTGAAAATGGAGATCTAAATGAAGAAACGATGTATTTCAGCAAGTATTAAAATATTTTAGTTTTATTTTAGGCCTTCTTCAAAATACCTATGCCTACAGCAGATGATTTTTTTGCCGTAACCAAAATAGTTTCATCCATGCCGACATTCCGGTCGGTTAGCGTGAGCCCTGACTGAACTCTGCAGAAACTTCACATCGATCTTCGCATCGCGATGTAAAACAAAATGTCGGAAAACTTTTCTTTGACGCATGCGCATTTGCATAAATGTCTACACACACACATACACACTACACACAATAAAAAAACATAGGAAATAGCAATAGTGATTACAATAGTTCCTATTGCATTACATGCATAGGAACTAAAAAGGCTAAAATTGAATTTCAGTGTCAAAGGTCAAGGTCAAACTAGGATACAATAACAATAGTAATTATTATGGCAAATATCTCACAAATAATATTTGGAGTTACTCTTTTCAGATTTCATAAATAAGCCAATGGTATTAAGTGTTATTAGATGACAGAGAAGTACTGGAATATCAGTGTCCTTGGCTATGACATATGTAATTTAACGTACTGCTTTGGACACTTGTCTGTGGGATAAGAGCATCTGTACCACGTTCCGCGTGTATAGTCTGCTTAAGGAGGTGTTGATATACATGTCGATGCTACCTGTTGACAGTGTTTTGATATAGCTTCTGATAGCTGCTGCTTGTTAGGAGAGTTTATAGATATTTTGCTGTAAAAAGATGGAGGGAGAAAAGTTCATACTTCACTTCAAAGTTTTAAGTATGTGTTTCCACTGAAATTTCTTCTCCATATTATATAACCACCTTTTCTCCCATGGTTTTAAACCTGATTTATCTTGTGGAAAACAAATAATAAACCTTCTTGTCCCTTAATGTTATTGCCGATTTTTTTCAGCTGTGTGAACATTTAAAACAAATGAAGTTATACCCATGGATATGTCATGCAAGTTGTTTTTCATTTGTAATGGATCATGGCACTCTATAAG